GCACGTGATTAAAGGCTACCTCATTCCATGGATACAGTAACTTCTATTTTGAACAAGATGATAATACATTCATGAAATTGTTTTAATTTAATTTTTAAGCTGAAATTATATATTCAATTATATATTCCTGGCGTCTCAGGAATAAGACGGTAATTCAGCAATAAGTTTGTGGACTTGACCTATTTTTTTACAAATAAAGTATAAGCATTCTGATGGTGCTATAATGAGTTATCTAAGTGAATTAGTTCCCTATTTTCTCGCTGGATGGCATCAGCACCTCTTTACTTGAAAGAGCAATAACGATTAAGTTTCCCCCTTATTCCACTGATGCGATAGTGTGCGTTGTAAGCAGATAGAGCGAGAAGGTTATGTACTATATAAAATTTTTCATCTTTACAAGATACTGGAAGAATTTGAAATTTTTGATGATAAAGCCCCAGATGTAGTAACAATATTCCCACCTGAAAATGTTAATGGTGAAGTTACTGGCAAGAATTCTGGAGAAAATGATGATGAAACAACTTAATTGGTAATCAGTTATGGGCAGAAGTAGAAGTCCTGCCTAAACGGATGAAAAAAATTAGTGGGAAATTGAAAATAAACTATTTTAAAAATCAATGTTGAAAACAGTTAATAGTTAATTATAAAGCACAAGGTATGATACAGAGTGGATAAATCAAATGATTGTTGCAGTGAAACCATTTCTGTGTTAACGTCACCAAAAGTTACAATAATGGGAACAGACAGGCTAACCGTATCGTTGTCTATCGATCCTGTAGCACCAGTACACACCAATCGACAGCAGCCGAAGGTTACAAAATGAGATGATGTTATGATTTTAGAGCAAAAGTATGCGGCAGAAATGAATTGCATTTCTACAAAGTCTACTGATTTGATTTAAACCTTCCAATTCTATGTTTATACTGGAGATCGTCTGTAGTCAGTTGATTGCTGATGAATTACAGCTAAGAATTGCAACCAAAATAATGTAATTAACCAAATAAACAAATCTTGACTCATAGTTAAAAAACAAAGATTAAAGTATTCAACGAAGATGATCTCCATTTTCACAGAAAAAACCAAAACATTAGAAAGCCTAGAAGATGGAAGATGTAACCATCAACTATCTGGGAACCGAAATTTCAAGCGATCTTATACATATAAGGAGGCGCAAAACCAAACAAAAGCAAAACAAAAGCATTAAAGATCGCGGGGTGTTTCAGGCAAGGCTGAGCAGAAATACGAAGAACAAAACAGAAACAAAGAACGGTAGATGAAGTCCCTCAGATCGATTCTAGGACTAAGACTGACAAACGATCAAAACGATAAGAGAGAGATCAATTTCTTGTATTGACAGGTGGGCTAAGGAAAGAAAGTGCCAATGGAGTCAGCATGTGGACAGAATGACATAATACCAAATAGTCTAAATATGCAAACGCAATCGATCCACGAAAAAAGGGACATCAGGCAGATCACCCTAGAAATGGGAACAATCGTAGCAAATCAGTATCCAATTAATAACAGGAAAAATACTAAACTGAGAACAAGAAGATAACGGCCCCTCACTTCTTTTTCCCATCATTTCGGTTAAAAGCTCATTCACAAAGTAAATAGTTGGTGAACAACTGTTAGTTGTCCAACATGTAATTATGTTCACATTTAAATATGTTCACATTACTGTTACACCAACCCATAAACGTCCCAGTATAGATTCTTGCAGAATACCACTGGGCACTTCAATAGCACGTGTTTTATATCCATATATACCAACATATTTTATTCTATTACTCAAATAAGATTAAAAAAGTTTGCACGAATAATGCTGTAAAACAGAAAAGTTTCGCAAGCAGTATACTGAAAAGCTGATCTTCTAATATTTAAAGAGAATTCAATTTTATTTTTAATAATCATAATTGGAGTATAGTTTTCAACCAGTAGAACACTTCGAAACATCAATAGAATATGTTCTCTTTTCAAAGAAGACAAGTCACATGTTTAATAATTAAATTTAACATATATTAAAGAGGTGTCATAAAGGCAAAACTACAATCTTTGAGTAAAAAGGTTGGATGTTTCATGATACAGTTCAGAAAGATTAACTCGTCAGATTCAGTACCGCGAATGTTGCATGAATATAGTTTTTGGCCATGAAGGTGGAGCTATGTCCACTATTCATGAAGTGTCCTCTACTGGACATATATCGAAAACGGTGTCTGAAAACAACAAAATGATGTCAAGCATCCAGCTCATGTTATTAGGTTAGCAGCTTACTTCACTAAGGTTACTGAAGAAGACGTTTAATGATATATGCGTTTATCATTGTTAATTAGTAGATAGAACGTTAAATATTTTCTAAACTAATTGTCTTGATAGACATAACATGAGTGTAGACAGGTGTGCAGAACAGAACTCCTTCCCCAATCAACCCTATCACAGCGAGATACATCGTAATGACAAGGAAAATGTTCATGATTTAACACACTTCTAAGCCGGTGCACTATAAATGTTAAAAAAAAAATACTAGAAAGGAGAGATAGGTAGAAATTAATTATTTTAGTGTTCAAGACTCGAGTATAATAATAATTGATGTGACAAAGATACTACTAGGCAGAGAAATAGATCCTTCTCGTCTTCCTTAAATTGTCATGACAGTTGAAAACGCAAAGTCCGTTAATTTTGTTGTTGTCTCGGAATACAGTCAGAGTTCAAAAATACATTTTTTAAATTTGCAGGTTTACGCAATATCGAATCAATAATTGAGTAGAAATTTTGTCCCCCAAAAAACCTTCCGTAACCTGGTACGACCCTCGGTTCTTTTTGTTTGTCATTAAATCAATTTTTAAAATCTTAGGGAGTATAGGTCACACCAAACCAACCTTCTTTTCAATCTCTTTTCTCCCACCTTGTTGTCTTTCAATTTTATTTTTTAATTATAGTTATTTATAGATTTAAAGAGCTACATGTGATCCGAAAAACGGATTGAAAATGATTGGTAATTATTGCAGACATGATAAGAAAGTTGAGAATAGAAATTAAAAATTATACAGTAAAGTGAAAAATTTGTGAAGTTGTTTTAACACATTAAAATTAACATTTCTTGCAAACTTTCTTGCCTATCTTTACGGTAATAACACAATAAATTATTTAAAGCTTATCCAATAAATTAAAACCCTTTAAAATAAATTTAAGCTTATCTAATAAGTTTCGTGCGAACTTTCTAGAAGGAATTTAAAAGTTAAGAAGCAACTAGACAGTTTCCGCGTTTTCCTTCGTTTCTTTATTCAGATTTAGGTTTTAACTTCGATACAAGGAAAAAGATACGACTCGCATATGATTTTGAACATTATCATTTAAATATTTTTGAAATGTTATTGTAAATATTATGTAAATAATAAAAATCTTCTAGTGTGAAGTTTTCGTTTAATTCAACATCATTCTATTGTATTTCCAAGGCATCCATGTAATACTCGGTCCCAAAGCACATTCCCCATGTGTGGTGTTTACAAATTGAGCCCAGGTCGACGTTTTATCAGTATTCCGTACGTTGTGCTGCTATTGGAAGTGAATTTATCCGTTGCGGATCCGCAACGGACCCATCGACTCTAGTTTTCGTATTCTATAAAGGAGGCCGTCGTTACCCATTATCTTCGTTCCGATGTCGCGCCTCTGTTTAATGACGTTCGTTAGCCATAGTTGGGGACAACTCACAAACACCAGGGTAGATAAATTATGGAGACAAGCGAGCACTTAACGCTCGACAAGTGAGGAAAACAAAGTGAAGCCTTCGTGAGTACCTAAACGTGCCGGCAAGTTGATAGGGAATTTATGATCAGTTACATTTTCTTCGTTATTTCATGGAGATGTAATTTTTTATGTAGGAAAATTCCTTGTTCAATTCTTGGAATAATTCAATATGAACATATCTTATAAGAGACTATGGATTCCACATTGGGAAGATATTAAGTAATCCATTTTATTAACTGTGCACGAGTCTTCTGAGATCGTCGGTCGTTTCCTCCGATATCCGGATTTAATATTAGGCCAATGTGGAGTAAAGGAATGCCAGCCCGGACGACGTCGGAACATTGCAGGCATTCCGCGTCCCTCTGGGGGTAGAAGAAAAATTTAAGTAACTGCCGCCGTCTTGAATTATGGACGCATTAGGGAAAATTTCAATATGTATCCCGAAGATATATCGCCTTTCAACTGGGCCGCTTGCGTTTACACAGTATAAAGTATATCGACGGGTGGAAATAAATTGGGACTCCCTCTACGTCGATAGGGCAACCGCGCCCCTTTTCGCAATCGGTAAATGATCGCTCTTTTCGCAACGAAAAAGACCTAAAAATAAGACCTTGCAGTTGAACCAAAATGTAAATGGATTTTATTAATGAATGAAAATTTTCATTTTATATTTTTATTATTCCAAATTGTTTTTTCTCACCATTTTCAGAAGTGGTTTTCTGATCCGGTTGAGACAAACTTTCAACTCGAAGTGTCTAGGGTGCAAAAGTAAATTAGCGTCGAGTCTGTCGAAAGTTCATAATCGGTTTGAAATTTAATTAAGCGGTAATTTGTATTTCTTCCGGGGCTATCCTGATGGCGTCTAACGCTGTTAAATACGGTTGGAATCTGGCGCGAGTTCCACGATCAAAGCCTAAATTGATTTCAGCGGAGGGGATGATGCAATTACGGAATGTTCCTTATAATTCTTAATAAAAGTTGGTGGTAAAGAACGATCTTGGTTATCTGTTAACTTTATGTCTAAGGTTTTCGGTCACCGAAAATATCTGTGTATTTACTATATAATTAATGATGGTATAATATTTTTAGATTTTATTGCATATTTGCAAATAATTTAAAACAAAAATAAAGAAATAATTGTACTGATTATTTTAAAACATTCAACTTGTTTATCAATAATACATAGGAATTTAAATAATTGTTTGAAAAACAAGTATATAATACAAGATCCCCTATTATTTCATTAAGTATTAAAAATGAAGCTACAACTCTTATTATTGTCCATTTTATCGATTAAGTACTTGGATGCAACATGCGATAATGGAGTTTATGGTAATAATTCACTACAATTTGTCAAAAAACCAAAAATATTATTCTTTTAATAGAACTGGGTGTCTCTAAAGATGAAAAAAACCAAATTGTTGCTTTACACAATTATTTACGAAAACAAATCGCAAATGGTAAAGTTAAAGGTCAACCAAGAGGAGTAAATCTTAAACGAATGGTGATGTATCTTCTTTTATATTTGTTAATAAAATAACTTGATTTATAGTCATGGGATGAAAGTTTGGCGGAGCAAGCTCAAAATGTAGCAAACACTTGTGAATTCAAACATTTATCAATTAATGATGGTAATTCATTTAAAAAAATTAACTCAAAAAGATAAAGAATTATCTTTATATCTTAGATCGTTGGTCTTGGGTGGGACAAAATTTATTTAACTCTATGGCGACAAACTACAATAAAAAAACAGATTGGAAAGGAGTTATCCAAAACAGTTGGTTTGGAGAAAAAGACAACTATAAATATAGGGCTGAATATACTAAAAATGTTGTTCATTATACTCAGGTTCTGCAAAATAAAATATACGTTCTTTTATTTATTAATTAAATTTAATTTGTTTCAGCTTGTATGGGCTAACACCAACAAAGTTGGATGTGGATACACGCATTTTCCAATTGAGGGAGATTTCCCTTATAAAAAATTATACGTATGTAACTATGCACCAGGGTAATTAATTTAGTAACATAATTTTCTATTTTTTGATTTGACTTATTGTTTCAGAGGTAACATAGAGGGAGAAAATCCTTATAAAAAAGGAAAGAGTGGATGTGAGAATTTGTGTTAAAACATATTTTGGTATGATTGTTATGTTATATAACAAAACAACACTAATGTATCAAGTATACAATAAATAATATACAATAAATAATATATATATAAAATAATATACAATAAATGTTCTTAAACACTATTTTCACCCGATTTTGAAACAACAAATACACTTTTCTGCACAAATTTTTTCCACATCTGTCGGAGAACTACATCTTATGTCAAAGAAAAACAGAAACAGCAACTGATGTTTTGGATAAAAGATTTACAAGAGTAAGCACTTAGGATATACAACCAATTTTAGGAATTGGAGCAAGTCAACAAAGAAACTAATATTGAATGCAAGTGAGGGATGGCTGACAGGTTTTCTAAAAAGGCAGTACACAAAAATGCTGCAAAATGTCTTACATAAATTACCAAAAATGATTGAACTCTGAATTCTGGAAGAAAATGCCTAAAAGCATGTATATAGCAACATTTGAAGAAATAGTTGTACACCATTGTTGCGGTATCACAATTTTCTGCCAAACCACAATTTTTGTTGTTTACACCACAATTTCGCTTTTAGTACCACAACTTGATTTCTTGTCATCAATAAAGAGTGACTTATAGGAAACCGATGTTCCTCTAATAAACAGTATTCAATTAATTTTCTTTTCTCTTATACACTTTCCAAGTACCTGCCAAAAATCATTTATAACTTCACCTAATACCTTAATGTTTATTGAATATATTGCTCTGTAACGACGTTTCTTAAAGCAGTTAAAATGCAGCACCTCACCAAAACGAGAAATGAGTCGACAAGAAAACATGTTTCTCATCATGTTTTATTCCCTCAATTCAGAGGAATCAAGAGTCTATGGTGTGTTGAGGCACTAGATCTTCAGCTTCTCTTAATGTTGTTTGTAGAGGCTTCTAGGTTGATGCTCTTAATTTGGTCTGCTCTTAATCTAGAGGGTCATATGCCTCTCTCATATGGCCGTTTACCACCGACCTTGACCTGGTCCATTAATTTTTCCAGACTTGCTTCGTCCAGTCGCCGTACATGCCCAAAATACTAGACAATTCTGCTTCGACATATAATTGATAATCGAACGCGGATCTGAACCTCGTTGAAAATTGTCGCGTTTGGTCTTCTTGTTACCAAGGTAATGCGCAACATTCTTCTCCAGCACCTCATCTCAAAAGCATCAATTTTGTGTCTGTCTGAAGCACTGATGATCCATGAATCTGCTGGGCATAGAAATATCAAAAAAACCAGAGCCTTTCTAATTCCTGTACACGTCTAATACATCACATTTAACCTGTTTAAGAGTAGTTAAGTATAAATAGCGCTCGCAATCTGTTGGACTCTGTTTCACTTTCTATACCATATCTTTGTAAATTGAAATTTTTTGCACAATGCTAGCGTTATAAATAGATTGGACAGAATATTACATTATATCAAAATATTTTAGGTTATCTTTGCTACCGTTTATAACGAAATAAAATCATGTAAAGTATATAAAAACGCTGAATATGCTTTAGTAGTTGAAAAGGTATTCTACTTCATATTTTGCATGGAGGTTTTGAGAACAACTGCAAAAAACAACGGATGTGAGAGGATAACTGTGCGAGAAGCTTGTAAAAACTCATTTAATTCCTGTATTTGATAACACAGCAAAAGAGATTACAAAGACTTTTCAAGAGACTACAATAAAATTTCAACAACAAAAGTATGAATAGAGGTTCATGAAAAGAAAATAAACAAAATATTTTACGGCTTAGTTTAACATATTTTTTTTATTTACTTAATCGATGATCTAATTCCTTTCGAATAATTGAAATGTTATTATTAAGTATTAATTTAATCATATTTTGAAATAAGTAAATAAACAATCGTCAAAAAATCCCGTGAATGCATTATCAATTGTTATGACTTCCGCTTCTAGAAACATTGTATCGACATATTTCTTAAAAATACATTACTAATGCAATAATCTATTTCCTAACTTAAGTAAAAAGCGGTTTTTTACAACAAGTCACACTTAAAAATCCATAAAAATTAATATCTATCGCGCATATTCTTTTAACGCGTAAGCATATACTATATAAAGAATGTAACAGAAAATGTAGAGGACAGTCAGTAACAATCAAACAAAATGAAGTTCCAACTGTTTTTACTTGCTTTGTTTTATGTTGAGCACTTAAACGCTGTTTGCAATGAAGCAGTTCATCGTAAGTTATATTTTTTTGTAACTACATATAATGTTTGAAGTTTTATTTTAGAGCGGGCAGTATCTGAAAGTGATAAGAAGGCAATTGTTGATATTCATAATCATTTTAGAACATTGATAGCGCAGGGAAAAGTTCCCGGTCAGCCGAGAGGGATTAATTTAAAACGAATGGTAAAAATTATGTTTCATTAAAATTTTGTTTAGTAAAGTATTTTTTGTAGAAATGGGATGAGAATCTTGCGAGAGAGGCTCAAAAAATTGCCAATACTTGCGAATTTACTCATAAAAGTGTACAAGATGGTTAGTAATTGAATATTTAGGTTCTTTTAATATTCATAATTTTTTTGTGTTTTAGGACGTTGGTCGTGGGTTGGACAAAACTTATACACGTCTTCTAGCACAAATTATGATACTCGCACTGATTGGAATGGAGCAATAACCGCGTTCTTTAACGAACATAAAATGTATAAGTTTGGTTCGGGATTTTCAATGAATACCGGGCATTATACACAAGTAACTAGCAGGAAAGAAATTTTACGTAAATTTGATTTGAATTAATAAAATTTATAGGTTGTTTGGGCCGAATCAGACCACGTCGGTTGCGGGTATACACATTATGAAAATTCTCGTTCTGGGTATCGATATCATAAACTTTATGTGTGCAATTATGGTCCTGGGTAAATATTAATTACATTTTGGAAAAAGTTTACTACTTTTTTTTTATATTTTAGTGGTAACATTGTTGGACAGAATCCATACAAAGTTGGAACAAGTGGATGCGAAAATTTATGCTAAAGTACTTTATATAAAAAATTGTTATACCAAAAATATATTATATATCAATATTAAATGAATATCATAGCTATAACTTTTTTTTATTTTTAACTCTAAACTTAAATACATAAATATCGAGAAAAGGCAAAATTTAGATGAAATAGTAGTGTTACATATTGTTGTTGGTAAAGCATGGGATTCGGAAAGTTTTAGAACAACAGTTTTAGTAAAATAGTTGTAGCTAACTTTATTCTTAACAATATTGCTCTTTTACATTTTTGCTCTCACAATCAGATGCATAAATATCGAGAAAAATTCGAAAAGTTGAAAATTAGACGAAATCGTGGTTTTACATACATATTGTTGTTAGTAAAGCACAGTTTTGGAACGTTTTAGAAAAACGTTTTCGTATAAAAGTTGTAGATAAGATTATTCTTAACAATATTGCTCTTTTACTCTTTTGCTTTCAGATGCATAAATATCGAGGAAAACTCGAATAGGTGAAAATTAGTGAAATTGTGGTTTTACATGTTGTTGCTAGTAGAGTACGGTTTCGGAAAGGTTTTAGAAAAAAAGTTTTCGTATAAAAGTTGTAGATAAGATTATTCTTAACAATATTGCTCTTTTACTCTTTTGCTTTCAGATGCATAAATATCGAGGAAAACTCGAATAGGTGAAAATTAGATGAAATCGTGGTTTTACATGTTGTTGCTGGTAGAGTGCGGTGTCGGAACGTTTTAGAAGAAAAGTGTTGGTATAAAAGTTGTAGCCAGGATTATTCTTAACAATATTGCTCTTTTACATTTTTGCTCTCAGATGCATAAATATCGAGAAAAATTCGAAAAGGTGAAAATTAAACGAAATCGTGGTTTTACATACATATTGTTGTTAGTATAGCACAGTTTTGGAACGTTTTAGAAAAAAAGTTTTCGTATAAAAGTTGTATATAAGATTATTCTTAACAATATTGCTCTTTTAGGCTTTCGCTTTCAGACGCATAAATATCGAGGAAAGCTCGAATTGGTGAATATTAGATGAAATCGTGGTTTTACATGTTGTTGCTGGTAGAGTGCGGTTTCGGAACGTTTTAGAAAAAAAGTTTTCGTATAAAAATTGTAGATAAGATTATTCTTAACAATATTGCTCTTTTACTCTTTTGCTTTCAGATGCATAAATATCGAGGAAAACTCGAATAGGTGAGAATTAGATGAAATCGTGGTTTTACATGTTGTTGCTGGTAGAGTGCGGTGTCGGAACGTTTTAGAAGAAAAGTGTTGGTATAAAAGTTGTAGCCAGGATTATTCTTAACAATATTGCTCTTTTACATTTTTGCTCTCAGATGCATAAATATCGAGAAAAATTCGAAAAGGTGAAAATTAGACAAAATCGTGGTTTTACATACATATTGTTGTTAGTACAGCACGGTTTTGGAACGTTTTAGAAAAAAAGTTTTCGTATAAAAGTTGTATATAAGATTATTCTTAACAATATTGCTCTTTTACGCTTTTGCTTTCAGATGCATAAATATCGAGGAAAACTCGAATAGGTGAAAATTAGATGAAATCGTGGTTTTACATGTTGTTGCTGGTAGAGTGCGGTGTCGGAACGTTTTAGAAGAAAAGTGTTGGTATAAAAGTTGTAGCCAGGATTATTCTTAACAATATTGCTCTTTTACATTTTTGCTCTCAGATGCATAAATATCGACAAAAATTCGAAAAGGTGAAAATTTGATGAAATCGTGGTTTTACATGTTGTTCTGGTAGAGTACGATTTCGGAAAGGTTTTAGAAAAAAAGTTTTTGTATAAAAGTTGTAGATAAGATTATTCTTAACAATATTGCTCTTTTACCTTTTTGCTTTCAGATGCATAAATATCGAGGAAAACTCGAATAGGTGAAAATTAGACGAAATCGTAGTTTTACATGTTGTTGCTGGTAGAGTGCGGTTTCGGAACGTTTTAGAAAAAAAGTTTTCCTATAAAAGTTGTAGATAAGATTATTCTTAACAATATTACTCTTTTACATTTTTGCTCTCAGATGTATAAATATCGGGAAAAATTCGAAAAGGTGAAAATTACAGGAAATCCTGGTTTTACATACATATTCTTGTTAGTACAGCACAGTTTTGGAACGTTTTAGAAAAAAGTTTTCGTATAAAAGTTGTATATAAGATTATTCTTAACAATATTGCTCTTTTAGGCTTTCGCTTTCAGATGCATAAATATCGAGGAAAGCTCGAATTGGTGAAAATTAGATCAAATCGTGGTTTTACATGTTGTTGCTGGTAGAGTACGGTTTCGGAAAGGTTTTAGAAAAAAAGTTTTCGTATAAAAGTTGTAGATAAGATTATTCTTAACAATATTGCTCTTTTACGCTTTTGCTTTCAGATGCATAAATATCGAGGAAAACACGAATAGGTGAAAATTAGATGAAATCGTGGTTTTACATGTTGTTGCTGGTAGAGTGCGGTGTCGGAACGTTTTAGAAGAAAAGTGTTGATATAAAAGTTGTAGCCAACATTATTCTCAATAATATTGCTCTTTTACACTTTTGCTCTCAGATGCATAAATATCGAAAAAAAATCGAATAAGTGAAAATTAGATGAAATTATGGTTTAACATGGTGCTGGTAGAGTGCGGTTTCGGAACGTTTTAGAAGACAAGTATTGGTATAAAAGTTGTAGCCAAGATTATTCTTAACAATATTGCTCTTTTAGGCTTTCGCTTTCAGATGCATAAATATCGAGAAAAGCTCGAAAAGGTGAAAATTAGACGAAATCGTGGTTTTACATACATATTGTTGTTAGTATAGCACAGCTTTGGAAGGTTTTAGAAAAACAGTTTTCGTATAAAAGTTGTAGATAAGATTATTCTTAACAATACTGCTCTTTTACGCTTTTGCTTTCAGATGCATAAATATCGACAAAAATTCGAAAAGGTGAAAATTAGACGAAATCGTGGTTTTACATACATATTGTTGTTAGTACAGCACAGTTTTGGAACGTTTTAGAAAAAAGTTTTCGTATAAAAGTTGTAGATAAGATTATTCTTAACAATACAGCTCTTTTACACTTTTTCTCTCAAATGCATAAATATCGAGAAAAATTCGAATAGAAGAACATTAGATGAAATCGTGGTTTTACTTCTTGTTGTTGGTAGAGCACGATTTCGGAACCTTTTAGGAAGAAAGTTTTGGTATAAAAGTTGTAGCCAACATTATTCTTAACAATATTGCTTTTCTACACTTTTGCTTTCAGATGCATAAATATCGAGAAAAACTCAAATACATAGGTGAAAATTAAATCATATCGTCATTTTACATCTTATTGGTGGATAAATCAAAGATTGGTAAAAATCTTTAAATAGATTTAGATAATTGATGTATTTGATTAGTTCGTTTTTTGTGTTTTAATCAAAATCCTTAAATATTTTGAATCGAGCATTGTAACTTTGTACAGATTTGTGACAGATAAAATTTTAACTAACCATTGAATAAAGTACGAAAACTTTTCGCTATAAATTTTTTCACGTCAGAACTAACTAAATAAGTTGGTTATCAGCCGTAAGGCAAACTGTGAATAGTCTGACACGGAAAATATTTTCACAAGTACAAACTAATTAATGTCGCGTAATGAAATGTTTTTTCCTCTGCGCAATCTTCTTCAGCGGGCCATCACAAAAAAGCTACGCCTTTAATTAGATTTTATGATTAAAAGTCTCGCGGCGTAAGAAAGTGTGCGCCCCAGTGCCTCGGCATTTCGCGACTTTTAATTAACCGAGAGCGGGTTTTTAATTTCAAAATATATAACGAGCTCGGCCGTGTCNAATCGTGGTTTTACATGTTGTTCTGGTAGAGTACGATTTCGGAAAGGTTTTAGAAAAAAAGTTTTTGTATAAAAGTTGTAGATAAGATTATTCTTAACAATATTGCTCTTTTACCTTTTTGCTTTCAGATGCATAAATATCGAGGAAAACTCGAATAGGTGAAAATTAGACGAAATCGTAGTTTTACATGTTGTTGCTGGTAGAGTGCGGTTTCGGAACGTTTTAGAAAAAAAGTTTTCCTATAAAAGTTGTAGATAAGATTATTCTTAACAATATTACTCTTTTACATTTTTGCTCTCAGATGTATAAATATCGGGAAAAATTCGAAAAGGTGAAAATTACAGGAAATCCTGGTTTTACATACATATTCTTGTTAGTACAGCACAGTTTTGGAACGTTTTAGAAAAAAGTTTTCGTATAAAAGTTGTATATAAGATTATTCTTAACAATATTGCTCTTTTAGGCTTTCGCTTTCAGATGCATAAATATCGAGGAAAGCTCGAATTGGTGAAAATTAGATCAAATCGTGGTTTTACATGTTGTTGCTGGTAGAGTACGGTTTCGGAAAGGTTTTAGAAAAAAAGTTTTCGTATAAAAGTTGTAGGTAAGATTATTCCTAACAATATTGCTCTTTTACTCTTTTGCTTTCAGATGCATAAATATCGAGGAAAACTCGTATAGGTGAAAATTAGATGAAATCGTGATTTTACATGTTGCTGGTAGAGTACGGTTTCGGAAAGGTTTTAGAAAAAAAGTTTTTATATAAAAGTTGTAGATAAGATTATTCTTAACAATATTGCTCTTTTACGCTTTTGCTTTCAGATGCATAAATATCTAGGAAAACTCGAATAGGTGAATATTAGATGAAATCGTGGTTTTACATGTTGTTGCTGGTAGAGTGCGGTTTCGGAACGTTTTAGAAAAAAAGTTTTGGTACAAAAGTTGTACCCAAGATTATTCTTAACAATATTGCTCTGTTACATTTTTGCTCTCAGATGCATAAATATCGAGAAAAATTCGAAAAGGTGAAAATTAAACGAAATCGTGGTTTTACATACATATTGTTGTTAGTACAGCACGATTTCGGAACCTTTTAGGAAAAAAGTTTTGGTATAAAAGTTGTAGCCAACATTATTCTTAACAATATTGCTCTTCTACACTTTTGCTTTCAGATGCATAAATATCGAGAAAAACTCAAATACATAGGTGAAAATTAAATCATATCGTCATTTTACATCTTATTGGTGGATAAATCAAAGATTGGTAAAA